TCTACCTCCCCAAGCTTCCACAACGTTAAAAGCAGTGCACCAACTAGAGCCCAAGTTTCAAACACATGAGCATATCGGGGACAGCCCACATTCAAACCGCTGACAGGAGCAGAAGCATATATGACACATGGGCTCTCTCCTATACCCCACATCATTCTCCAGTCCCTTCTCCCTCTCTCCTTCCTGTTTCTTCTGATTTTCTGTAAGGTTTCAGAGCTCCCCAAAAGAAGTCAAAGCCGTGACCAATCCAACGAAGTCAACAGATACAGCAAAGCACACTCAGTTTCCTGGAGCACTAATCCAGGGTCGGGAAAGGACTCTCCACATGCTCTGTCACTGTCACGCTGACCCATGACACAGATGCTGGGATGCGTAACGGACAGAACCCTTCACCCGTGCAGACGGCAGGGCTCTGAGAAGCGAAGGCACTCGATAAATATCACAAAATAATCAATGACAGTGGTGGAAGTTAGACTCTGACCTACCGCACACGGGCCTGATATTTATATAAATGTTTATATAAATATAAATGTTAACTTCCCCATGCGTCGGCTTCTAATGAAGTCTTCGTGGCCATTTTGCCAGACATCACATTCCTAACTGTCAGAGGAAGAAACTGAGGATCAGGAAACGTAAGTGGCTTGCTCCAGACCATAGCGACGAGAATGGAACTGGCAGTCTAGCCCTCTGTCAGGAAACACAATGAAGAGGAGCAGGTGTGACGGAGTTCAAGGGAAAGCATTAAAGAATTTGATGATGGCTTCACGTTTCACATTAGATAATTAAACAAACATTGTCACCATCCATACCTGAGTGTCTGCGGCTATTATAAATGGTTACTATGATGCCATTGTTCACTAGACAATAATAAGAAACCGTATGTTGGGTTTGGAGAGATCGTTCAGCATTTAAGAGCATTTGCTACTCCTGCAGACGATTTGAGTTCAGTTTCCAGCACCCACAATGACCTGTAACTACAGCTTGAGGGACATCCGACACCTCTGGTCCCTATAGGCACCTACACTCATGTTCACAGAGCCCAGCACAGACATATACATATATAATTAAAAGCAAAAACTAAAATGTAAATATTTTTTAAAAGGAAGTCACATGCAATCTAATTGCATGAAAGCAGAAATTGTGAATATGGATGGATCTAGAGTTAGAGAATATACAAAAGGAATGTCGCTTAGTTAAGACTCGGGATAATAATTACCTTAACATTCTGTAAAGTATAACACTTAAAACACAAAATATATCTCACAGCTGTTAAGAAAACCAGACCAAGGGAAGTAGACAAAATAAATTACTCACTTAAAAAAATCTGTTCTTCAGAATGGAAAGAATGCCTTCCCAAAATAACGACGGGGGAGTGATATTTAGTGTAAAACTTTCTAATGGGAAAGAGCAAATAGAATGCAAGTGAATAAAAAGTTGACACTGGAGAGTCAGAGTTGGTCTCTATGTGGAAATTCTGCACACTAGAGAGACCTAGAGGTTCCTTTTAGTCTTCAATACCATCCTACCCACTTCTCTGCCGCTTTGTTTCCATGGTGAAATTCTAGGAGTGACTTTGAAAATTAATCATACAGGTTTTTATTTTATTTATTTTTTTTTTGCTGTCACTCAAAATCAAATCTATCATTTAACAAACCATCTGCTAACTGTTCACTCAAGCGACATTTCCCTGGAACTTAGGAGAGTTCACGTGGCTTAGACCTGGGAACAGGAGCTAAGGGAGTAGGGTGAGGATCTGTCAACGAGACCAGCTTTGACCATGTGCTGAGGACTCCAGGAAGGTTAAGGGAGAGACCCTCTGTAAAGTATAGAAGAATACATCCTGACGGATGAGAAAATCTGGCCTGGGATACTTAGATGGGAGAGAAGGGCAGAAATTGTGTGACGGGCAGTGAATCAGATTGTGTAGGGGCCTGGAAAGAAGAAAGCATAACCCATTTGCTGAAAATTCTGATGGCTGCCATGCTACAGGGGCTGGCCACACCTCTCTTCCTATCAGGACCAGCGTCCATTCCCACCAGTAGACCGGCAGAGTTGTGGTGCGAAACCCACCGTGCCCCAGCAGGCTGCCTCAGTTCAACTTCCTCGTTCCGCCATGTGGTATGGAAAGCTGGGTGACTTACATCACGTATGTATCTTGTCCGTAGCTCATTTTCTCCTGAGGTTGGCGACCATGGACAAGACTTTTAGACTTCTAGGTCGGGAGGTTTGTGGTACAGAACCTGGCACATTGCCAGCCCCACACTGAAGTGGTAGCTTGGGAGAGTTCCCCTACTCCAGGGGGTTCCTGACTTCATAGTCAGGAGAGAGGAGGGTCAGCCCTTATTCCCAGCCTTCAGGACTGTAGAGTATGGTGACCTGGAGCGTCCTGACTGCACAGTGAAAGTTGATCATTTACAGATACCTGGGAGAGACCAGGGAGGGGAGATGGGGAAAATCTTGGTCCTTGTCAATCTACATTCAAAGCAGCTAACAGATGTCACCAAGAGTCTGCCCAGGATCTCACCAGAGGATTAGTCACAGAGTCTGGACCAGCTCCAGAGTCCCTGATCCCCATGCAGGCCAGCTGAGGCCAGGGCATGGAAGGCAGTTCTTCTGAGAGGGGGCATCTATAGCTTTCACTTCTTCTGGTCCCCTATGAGAGATAGCGCAGTGGAGAAGGGAAGCTAGGTGGGGTCTGTGCCTAGGGCTATAACAAATGCGCCATCCCCAGGTACAGCTACCCACCCACATAGCCCGCCACACCCAAGCATAGCTGGTTTGAATGCAGCATTAAGAGGCTTGGGGACAGAGTTCAGGTGCCTGGCTGAGGGCACACGTGCCTCCTACCCTACTGCGCAGAATTTGCACAGTATTTCAGGACTGTTATGACTGTGAGGGTGATGGATGAGTTGGTGGGGAGCCCAACTGATTCTGCCTTTTGCCAGGTCTGGTTTTGGTTCCAGATGCTTTAGGCTATAGAGAGGATCTTCTCTGTCAATCCAGAACCAGGATTCTTCCAGAACTTCCTCATCATGAAATAGTTTGTCCAGTCCAGCAAACAGTCAGACAAGACCTACCCTCTCACTCCTCCTGGCTCCTCACTGGGAATACTGAGTACAAAACCTGCCCAATTCTCAGATGGCTTACATATGCCCCACCTTCTGGTGTAAATTCTCTTTTCTGTATAATGGAAATGTCCTGCCCTGTCCTTTGATTTTCATGTTTCTAGCTTTCCCCACTCCCCACATGAATCACCTTTCACATGAAGCCTTCTCCAGGATGACTTTTCTCCCTGAAGTGTTTTTGTTTCCTTCTGGAAACTTCCATGGTGGTATTTACTGCTCTGCACTGTCTTCTTTTAATGCATCTCATCCAGTAGGGAAGAATTTCTTAGTGACAGAGGATAGCTTTTTTTCTTTGTGTCTTCCGTGTCTAGAAATATGTGAGTGAAACGGAACACGACTTCCACCACGTAGAAGAGTGAGCCAGGCCAAGGCCGACTGCGTTTCAGCAGGTGCAAGGCTTGTACCCAGCACATGCAGACCACAAAACAGAACCCACAGACCCCAGGAAAACTGGCGGGGAGAGAAGCCAAAGCATCAGCTCTGCTGGGAGGGGGGCCCTGGTGAGTCAAATTGCTGCACCGTAAGGAGATAATGTATCAGGGGCAAAGTGGCCACCACTTTCTCAGGATTCTGGTGCACAATGCTCATTTTGTGAATGAAAGCAGATATGCCACTGGTAACTTGACTATTGGAATTCTACATCAAACCGGTGTGATGGCTGTAACTCATTTAGAACAAATATGGAGGCTCCTAGTATTGGATAGGTAAGACATGTTGTTTAAAACGCTTAATATTTAAAAATAAAAACAAATTATATCAAAACAGAAGCAAAAACAATAATAACAACAACAAAAACCAAACCAATGCCATGATAAACAGAGAATTTCTAAGGCCTAGAAATGCCTGTATCCCAGCACTGAGTCTACTTTGTCCAGGAGATTCTACAGCTCTGGTTACTTGCCTCAAGTGGCACACTGATTCCCTTAGGAGGAGTTGAGTCCAGGATGAACACATAGAGGCAGTAAATTCAAACAATACTACATTAGAAAGTGGATACAACTTCATAAGTACTGCCAAAACATTTATAGAATAAGGATATGGCTTCCATTTGAGTAATGAATTCTAAGGGTTACAAAACTGTATAAGCAAAGTTAACCCTGAGTGCAGATCTGATGCTTTGTTAATTATTAATTAAACCTCAACTTCTACTACTACACACACACACTCACTCGCGCTCTCTCACACACACAGAAACCACACCACACCAAACAGCAGGGGACATAGAATATGCATCTCTGCAGTGTATACTTGGTTTTACTAATTAATTAAATAATTAACTAAATAATAATTAGCACTTGGAATAGAATCCAGGGCCCCTCATGTGCTAGGGAAACACTCCACTGATGTGGGAGTGTCATATATCAATCTGTTGATTTCATTGGCTAAGTAATAAACAAACTGCTTGGGCTCATAACTTAGAACATAGGTGGGTGGAGTAAACAGAACAGAATGCTGGGAGGAAGAGGAAGTGAGCTGAGAGACGCCATCCTCTCCTCTCCTGGGCAGACACACGCGATGAAGCTCTGACCCAGGATGGACGTAGGCTAGAATCTTCCTGGTAAGACCGGTGCTCACAGATTATTAGAGATTAGCCAGTCTTACTATGATTTTTTTTTTTAATTTGAGGTAGGATCTCATTAAGTTCCCAAGGACAGCCTTGAACTTATTCTATACCCCACAGAGCCTTGAACTTACCATCCTCCTACCTCAGCCCCCTAAGCAGCTGGGATTATGGTCTGTTTACCCAGCATAGCTTATACTTCATTTAACTCTTTGGTTTAGGATACATTAGACAACAAACAAGCAAACACACAAAAAAACTAAAGTTCTTTTACCAAATTCAATAAAGGAATAGAATCACTTAATCAGTCTTACCCTGAGGTAGTTGAGGGTGAAGTTTGTTAGACCCATCCTGGTAATATTTTTGGACAGCTGATCCAGGACCTGAGGATCTTGTGCCTAAACAGAGAAGAGGGAGGAAAAATTACATATTTCACTTCTATGAGATGATCTCATGAAAACATTAGACTATGTTGTCGCTGCTGAGACTTGCACTCTTGACACAATTGACCTGTCTTGGGGGTAGAGATTGCGGGAGAGAATTTAAGTTACATCTGGAGGTCATTTCCATCTAGTACTCAAGGACATTTTGAAATTATTTCTGCAAGACTAGAAAACCAAACTGCCTCAGATGAGAATTTGATCCAAAAGAAAAAGACATCGCTTTCTCTGTAAGAGACCCTGGCTCTGTGTCTTCAGATGGAAGTTCCTGAGCTCTGCCGGAAGAACTCTAGTCTGAACCACAGAAAGAGATGTCTCTGAACTTGGCAGAGCCATGCTTCTTCCCTGCTGACTTCCCTGCTGAGATAGGGGTGGTATTTTTACCATCCAGGATGTAGGATGCATTTGAAAACTTGCAGCTATCACAAAAATATATGATGTAATAATATATCATGCCAAAATCCAATATATATGTATTCAGAGTATGTGAAGAAATAGAATTTTAGAACCCTCACCTCCCTAAACTGAGGTTTAAAATCATGTTCTTAATGTCTTTCTTCCTATGGGATGAAAAAGATAGGAATCACATTTTTCAAAGTATCATGAGATATAAAGTGTCCAAATATTATATTTGGACAGACCCCCAACAAAAAAAATTTCATTGCATATGAAAGTAAGTTACATGGTTGATCCTCTTCACTCTGCTTCTTTCTCATCAAATTCATTCCATGCATAGGGAGAGTTAAATAAGCAGGCTTTTCTTCATATCTGTGCTCAAAAGACCACATCAGTTATAACTAATAGAACCTTATTCTTGCCTGTGATTTTTGTTCAGTGATAGTATCATTCTTATTTGTAATCATAGACGAAAATGACTATGGAGTAACAGTTTCCAGTCAATTCTGAAACAGAGTCTCATGGACATTGACCCTCTATGGGAAGATCTGAATCTATGTGGACTCAAGTTGTGCCACGGGTAACAGCAAGCAGCTTGTATTGTAATTGGACAGCAACCAATGATGGAAGGATGTTGTTCCAATGTTTCTGGCGCTGCTGAGAATAGATCAACAACACCTACTGACATCCTAAATGACCCAAGCATCATTCTGAATGTTCTGCAGTCATTAACTCTCGAGTCTCAAGCCAGGTCTCCAAGGCACACTCAGAACCACACCACTGTATGGATGAAGGACTACAAGTCCAGGGACATCATATCAGTTATACAAGGCTCTCATGAGCGGCAATATAGCATCATGAGCTCTCCATGTACGACCTCAGCTCTCATCCACACTCTTCTGATGCTTTCTGGGGTATTTTGAGAAGAAAAGTAATGTTGGTAAATCAAACTTCTTCCAGAAGAGTGGGAGGTGTCACACTTGCTTTGAAAGTGCTGATGGAGTTGAAGCATGGTGAATCTGAAGAAGTGGAAATAGGCGTGGCACAGCAGAAGGCCGGATGTCACCAGAAAGGTAGAGGTAAGGTTAATAGGTAGGGAGGACCGGGGTGAGATCAGAGGTCTAGAGAGAGAGCATGAAGTCCAAAGCTGGGGACAAAGTTTTGAATTCAGATCTAAGTGGGTCACAACCTTGGTTTTGCCATATTCAGATTGAAAGACATTAGACCATCTCCTGCCTTACTTTGGAAATAATAATAATAATTAATAAGCCAACCCCTGAGTGATAGTTACATATTAAATTTTCAGCAAAAGTTTTGGTTTAATAAATTCTGTAAATGGAATCTGCAGTTACTTTGTTCTCTTTTGAATTCTCAGGACCATGAATGCATCAGGTCATGAAGTCTGATTCTGTTGCATGTCCCTGTCCCCATTCCAGCCATGTGTCATGGTACCATATTTAGGAAGAACCAATAGATCCAGAGGATAGAAGCCTCACTTCCGGTCAGGTGGTTCTAGTCAGAACTGGAAGCTGCTCCCACTTCCTGTTTAATTCACATTCTCATTATGGGTAAGAGATTCATACACCCAAATAGACAAATATCTGCTACAGGGTTACTGCAGCTGAAGAAAATAAAAACCATTCGTCAAGGGAAACTTCCTAACATATGAAAAACCTCTCACAGGCTTCGAAACAAAGGAAGCAAAAAAGAACCTGTGCATTCAAATGATTGAGGGGAAGACTGAATACTTAGAACTCCTTGTCTAAGGTGTGGTGATAGCGGGGCTTTGTTCAGACAGAACAAACTGTGTTTCCCTGCTGAGTATGAAACAGAGGGACTAAGAAGAAAAGAGACTATTACTTACGTGCATGGCTAGTATGCTTCTGGGGACCAGCTCCCTGTACTGTCTGATGGTAAAGTGCCACGTTTTTATTCTCATGAGGTCATCAAACGTGAACTCCAAGATCAGCCTGCCTTCTGTGCATACCTAGGGGTGACAAACAGCACACTCGTTTGCTATGCAGTTCATACAAGCAATAGTTTGTAACTCATATCAACTACCCAAATATAGTGTCTGCTGAGGTCCTCAGGCAGTCTGCCCATGATACACAGGGACAAGTATCAGCTCTATCATCAACAGGTTCAGAAGGTTGCTCAGTTGCTTACTAGCCACAAGTACCAGTCACTCTACTACCAATGAAACTTTTCATGATTCTGAATTTTCATCTTAGAAACATCCATCTCCTAGTGATATTAGTTCAAAGTCCACCTTCTCTGACCACCTTCATTTTCATGGGTGCTTCAGCCATAGTATTTATTTATCTATTTGTTTGCTTGTTTGTTCTACATTTCCTTCCCTCCTTTCCTCTCATTGCCTTCCCTCCCCCCCTCTGTATCCCTCAATTCACTACTCCTCTCTTTCTGTTCAGCAAGGGGCAAGCATCTCATGGGTATCACAAAGCATGACATACTAAGTTGCAGTAAGACTAAGTACCTCCTCTTGTATTAAGGCTGGGTAAGGCAACTCACTGTGAGGAATAAGTTCCCAAGAACCAGCCAAAGCATTGGGGACAGGCCTTGTTCCCACTGCTAGGAGTTCCACAAGTAGACCAAATTATACAACTGTCACATATATGTAGAGGGCCTTGCATGACCCTGTGCAGGCTCACTGGTTGTTGGTTCAGACTCTGTGAGTTCCTATGAGCCGGATTAGCTGTTTCTGTGGGTTTCCTTGTAATGTCCTTGACCCTCTAGCTCCTACAATCCTTCTTCCCTCTCTTCAGTGGGATTCCCTGAGCTTAGCCAAACGTTTGGCTTTGGGTCTCTTTATCTGTTTCCATCAGTTACTGGATGAAGGCTCTCTGATGACAACTGAGGTAGTCACCAATCTGATTACAGGAGATGGCCAGTTCAGACTAGGTATCCACAATTGCTAGGATTCTTAGTGGGGGTTATACTCGTGGATTCACAGGACTTTTCCTTACATAAGGTCTCTATCTGACTTCGAAATGCTCCCCAAATCTTTGGTTTCCCTAATTTGGGAGAAAGTTTCCCATAAGACAATGGGACAATAATTCATACTCAGGTATGAATTATTACAAAGTTACCCATCAAGTGTTGTAATTTGAGCGGCGGGCTGTGTCCCCGGCACCCGGCCGCCCCCACGGCTAGCTTTACCCGAAATAATTACACACAAACTGTATTCTTTAAACATCGCTTGGCCCATTTCTATCTAGCCTCTTCTAGGCTAGCTCTCGCACCTGGACTAGCCCATTTCTAATAATCTGCTGTAGCCCACGAGCTGGCTTATCAGGAATGAGCTTAACCTGCGTCTGTCTGGAGTGGGAGAATCATGGCGACTACTTGACTCAGTTTCTTTCTCCCAGCATTCTGTTCTGTTTACTCTGCCTACCTATGTTTTAACCTATGAGGGCCAGCCAAGCAGTTTGTTTATTACTTAACCAATGAAATCAACAGATTGATATATGACACTCCCACATCAATCAAGAGTGGGTCTTCATTTCCAAAGGGGAATTCCAAAGTGTAATACTCAATCCAATGCAGCAATACCAGTTATGGAAAATAGAGGGCTGTTTAGAAAATACACTGATCACATCAACAGTGGCAAGTCCTGTTTATATTACATAAAGGGATGGCTAGTCTCTCACCTTCCTAAGAACATATGTGATTAATGAAGCAACAGAAGGCCAGAGTCTCTCTTTCTTTATAATCGGTGACAAATGCATTTTTAACTTTTCATATTCGTATTATTCTTAGCACAATGACTTTGAAAGGGAAGAAAGTAATACAAAACAGCACACACATTGTTTTCCTGTTTCAACTATGAGCCAGTAAGGAAAGGAGAGCATACATCGTTCCAACTAGTTAGTAAACCCTTATTAGCTCTGGGGAAGGAGTGCCGTAGTGCATGGAGGCTTTGAAAACAGATGTTACTGGATTGGAATTCTGACTCTACTTTTCTCATGCTGTAGCTTGGAGGAAACCAAATGCATTTTCCTTATTAACAGAACCAAGACAATAACATAACTAGAATTATTGAGGAGACACATTTCAGGGAATTCTATATGTAGAATGCTGGATACTGTGCCTGGCACAAATAGTAAGATTGTAACATGTAGCTGAGTAGATAAACAGAACCAAGGGGAAGAGAGAGTTCAGTCATGGCCACTATGGTGCACACGCTGAGTTGTAGATCACAGGAAGTATCTCTGGGGATTTGATCCGAATTAGGAGGAATTGAGCATCTAGACTCCATCCATTCTCTCCTCTTTAATATGCCCAGTCTCTACTCAGACTTTCTGGCAGAAAGATTTCCTAGTTAACACAACTATGCAAATGTCTGAAGCAACGTGAAAAATTAATCTGCGAAGCTATAGACCAGAAAGATGGCGGTTCACAGTTTATAACAAGCTTTCACGAGCTATCGATAATCTTTCTCCTCTTGAAATAATACAATTTTGGAAGTTTTGACAGTCACAGGCAATAATGGGGGCTTTCCAAGTACTCTGATGGGAGTAGATGGCTTCTTTACACAATCTAAACCTTGTCTGTTTGAATTACCATGGAGAGTTTAATAGGGCTTTGCTCAAAAAAGATGGATTTGCCATCTTCATTTTTATCAAAGATCTTTGGGACACAGGGAGATAATTATTGCTAATCTAGGTGAAGACTTCTACCTAGGATCCAATTAACAGAACTTGTGAGTAATTTCAGACATGTGGGCACCCTGCCCTAAAACTCTGAGAGGGGTTGTGTGCTGAGCCTGGCTTTTGGCATCATAGCCACGAGTGTTATGGGAGCAGAAATGGAGATGTCATCAGTGTTCCCAAACTATTCTTCCACACACGTCTGGAGCACTGGAATTAATGTATCAAAGTTTTCAACAAAGTACCATGAAGACTAAACCAATGAACTTCTTACCCACACCATCAGGGTGTTAATGTTATAGCAATCACCTGCAGTGGCAGCTTTCACAGAAGGGAGGGTTGTGATAGTCAACTATTAATGGGAAAACCCACATTTGCAAGGCTCTTAGAAATGGTATTATTGGATGGTCAAACAAATATTAACCTGGCTAAATTTCAGGTTTATTATTACTGTTGTTGTTATTGTTATTATCATATAATCTGCTTGGTTTCTTTCTGTCAACCACAGGGTCAGGGCAGATAAAGGCTCTGGTTTGCTTCCACTAGTACCAAGCTTCACGATGAGAACATCAGCAGACAGTCTTGAGGTACTGCTCATCTGAGCATCTGCAGGGCCAAGGTCAAGTGTGTCTTTTGTTTACTATGACACAGCAAACTAGTTGGGCCTTCTTATGCAGACAAACTGTCTCGGGCCTACAAAACGAAAAATTGCCACAAGTCTTGGTCTCCCTTCATAGTCAAATGGGTCCACTTTATCCAGGGCACACTAAGGGAAAGTGGGAATCCTGAAAAACATGTCCCGGTTCATTACAACAAGTTTATTTTTAGAGGAAATTAAATGTCTTTCAAAAATGAAAGACAGAGGAAAATTTTGGTCATTGCTCCTTTCTCGAAGTGATTATAAATGCAGAACCATCCGAAGACTTGGGGAGACGACCCCCCCCTTCTGTAATGGAAGCTAAGTGAAACCAAAGGCTTTGTGGTTTGTTTTCTATGCAACCACCAGGAACCATAACAGAGGTACATATGAAGGAATGTATGACTCCTTTGTTAGAAAATATTTAAAAAAAATAAGCATAGCTAATAAAATAGAAGTAATGTTTTTCTCATTTCAAAAATATCTGTATTCACTTATTAACGAATACAGTTAATGCAGCTTTTATCTAATGCTGGCCTTTAAAAAAAAAACAAAAAACCCTGCCTTTCTGTTGGAATCCAAAAATCAAAAGGGTCCCCAATTAAGAAAACATTTTCTGTTGTGCTGAATTCATGTTACCGTACTGTGAGCTCTGACATTTTGTTTCTGTGGTAACCAAAATCAGCTGATTAGTTGGCATGGCAACAGAAAAGATGTAATCCCAGCAGACACACTCTAATCAATGCCCCCAGCACAGATGGTCTCCGGAGGATCAACAAGAAAGAGGCTGGCAGGCATTCGGTCGATCACGTGCTAGCTTGAGACTAGGCCAGGAACAAGAAAAGTAAAAAAGAACATTTCTCAAACTACCCAGTAGCTTTTTAACCCCTTCCTGTCTCTTACTAATGAAGTAATATTGACCACAGCATTGTATAATTCAACGGTTCCCACACAGCTTCTATGAGACAATCCGTGCATTTTCTAAAAGGTGGTAATGTTTAGTTTTCTATCTTTATATGTGAACAGCACAAGGAGAATAGAGAATGCTATTTAAATACTATTTAAAAATCGATCTCTGAATTTTACCTAGAGATATCACATATATAAATGTGTATTAAGAAGATATGGTACTTAACACAGAGAGGAGAAATTATATTCTATAATGTGATACGCCGGGTAAGGTAAGCATAGGGAAGCAATTGTCAAAAAATCCACTTGAATAGCGTTTGCTTAGAGGAAACGTATTTAATGTGCATCCAGGTTATATCTAGTAGTGAATAATTTCATAATAAATAATTGAGAGGAGAAAACCTTCATAAACCCATGGTGGCAGGAGTGATGAAGGTATCCATCCAGTAGTGTCTGTGACTACTGTTTTAGTTTGCAAAACCCGAGAATGTGGCATTTATAGTGCCTCTCTCGGTATCCTCTTCACATCCTTGAATATAACTCAAGAGTCTTTGACTCTGCAAGGCTCCCGGCATGCCTTTCTGATTATTAAGCCTTGTTTTCCATTTGATTTGAAATTGAAAACATAAAAGAAAGGCTTTATTATGTGCATTTAAAAATTCCAATTACATATTTATCCTTAATCTATAATGTTCCTGGTATCAGGAAATTACAAAATGCTCAGTATACCCCTGAGGATTATTTAATATCTCTGTTGATTAGGACTGTAACTGATTTCTGATTCACTAGTTGACCAAATTTTCATAAAAGCAACTCAGCGCCATTGGGTCAAACGCTATTTGGGGAGAAACAGCTTAGTGATCGCCTAAATTAGAACAATGTGAGCTGCCGACACATAATGAGCTAAATAACGCGAGGACTAAGACCAAAATGTCAGCAGCTGCTTTAGAATTCCCTTTCTTCGTGGTACCAAAAAGCCATTGGCTCATTGTTTGTTTAAAATAGCCATAGTGCTTTATTACCCGAAACAGAATTATTTTTAATTAACATAAGAACACAAGGAAAATTAGGAAGATTCTTAGAGTAGTATAGCAAGCATCAAGGGGTGAAGGGAGGGAGTGGGAACAAAGGAAAAAAAGGATGGATGGATGGAGGGAGGGAGAGAGAGAGAGAGAGAGAAAAGAAAAATGAATCCTTTGAATCATATCAAATTTCCTAAAAATAAATGTGCATAATTAGCATCTGGATTAAGTACCTATAATGAAACTACATGTCCTAGAAAGAGATATATATTTCATCAGAGTATTGAAATATTCATTACAGGAATAGGCAAATAATACTGCCTGCCTTAAAGCTGGATGACATGGGTGGTCCGAATAATTGATGCTCTCAGAGCCAAGGGAGCCGTGTTCAGGTCTTTCTAGTGATTGCCTTGTTTCCTTGGGGAAAAAAAAAACCCACTGGACTCCTGGGGAACAGAGGGGATATTCAGGAAGAAGAATGCAGCCAAGAGGAAAACCTCAGTGTCTTAACTAGAATGAAAATAGCACTTCATGGTTCTTCGTGGGTTCCTCAGAAGAGACAGATTGGCCTAACACAAGTCTAAAACATTCCATACGACAGCATCAGGGCAGCTCAACATGTTCATTTATGAATTAGGACCTGACCTGAGAAGGAATGAAATTGACTAAATATTTTTTTAAAAAAGGCTGTCACAAAATGGCTTTTAAAGTTTTCAGTGGCTGCAGACATTAAGCACAATTTCTGAATGATGGAAAAGTTTTAATTATCACATTTTGTTTCTCTCAGAGCATAAGGAGATAGTGTTTTTTATTTGAATCAGCTAAAAGTGTTAACATTTGGGAGGCTCTCCTTGCGCTGCTCAGACCTGGTAATCATAAAAGGGAATTGGGTCTGTGCGTGCATCTTATCTATATGGTTATGAAAATATCCTTTATCTTCAGAATGGAGTAAGTCATGGGCAAATTAAACCTTCATTCCAATGGCCATTTCCTCCCATAAGCAAAACTCTCTTCCCAGCACAGACTTCAGTATTCTTATGATGCAGTTCTCTGAAGAATTTCTTTCCACCCGGTTAAAGTATTAGGCAGAGAAAACTCCCAGCTCTTACCATATTAAAAAAATCCTATTGTCCAAACCAAGTTGTCACAGGGTCAGTGATAGCTGATGGCTTGCCTTTGGATTGCGTCACCAGGTCCCTTTCGCGTCACACACCATCATGGGCACTGAGAAGACTCACGCACCACTGTGGCAAGTGGTGCTGATATAAAACACTGATTTATTATTCTTCAAGCAAATTACACCAGCAGCACCTCTCCAGTTTTGCAGTTTGATTTTTGGTAATTAACCCTGATAATCTAACACCTTGTAGACAGAGAGGGCTGTCGTCTGTGTTTTGTTCTAAAAGATATAGCTGCTGTCTATTAATGAAATAAATGCATGCAGAATTTTAGTCTATATTAAATGAGCAAGTATTCATTAAAGCAAGTATCTGTGGGGCTGACAGACAGCTCATGGGCAGAGCTTTGTGTTTAGCATATGCAAGGCCCTGAGTTCAATGCTTAGCACATCAAAAATAAATAAACAATTAACTTCTGTTTACTAGATTCTGTGACTCACTGGCCATTACTGTTCCTCCCACTTGGAAGAGGATATACACGGATCATATGTTAATACTACCAAGTGGTCCTCAGTGAGGGGGATAGTCCACATGCTGGTATTCTAGCCGTGGCAGAGATTACAGGTGGAAAATATACAGAAGATGATGCTGAGTCCCTGCCCCTTCTCTTTTACATTTCATATCCTTCATACACTGTGAACTTGGCCTCAAATCCTGTGTTGTCTGCCCGCCCCTCGCTTCTTTGCCTCTTAGTTTTATAACTAGCTTCTATCTCTGCTGTGCTCATGGCTGAGTTGCTTGGCTGACACACTTTGCAATTCTAGAATCTCTGAAGCCCTGAGGAAGCATCCTAGCCCTGTTTGCCCCTTTGGTTTGCAGATAACTGCCAGATAATAGTTCAGGTGTAACTAGTGAAATGTCCCCTTTGTTTGTTCACATTTAAAATTTCTTAACACTTTCAAAATAACCAAGCCCAAATATTGCGTGAATTCTTTCAGTTACCAAAGGTTTATTTGCATAGAAAAGAAAGCCTCTGTCAGCTGTTAAACTGAAGGAGCAGCTGAACTCCTTTCCTCTTAGGTCTGTCTGTACCCGAGCCTGGCCGTACCTTGGTGAACATGGGCTTCCCGTGCTGTGTGACCATGGCACACTGGTCGCAGTCTACCGTGATGGATGAGTTGTGGTAAGACTCCTTTGAGTGTTTGAGGATGTAATACAGATCGGTCACCCCTCCTTCGAACACGGTGCTAAAATAACGGGGGATGAGTGTCCTGCCGATAGCTGCAAGAGAAACAGAGGAGCAAGCCATGAACATGCAGAGCCAACCAATGCTATGAACCCACACCCACTTAGTGGCCACCTGGAGCCAGGCATCTTCGGAAACATTCCAGGAGCCGCTTCTCTTTCTAAACAGCCATGACCCATCTGGGTTGTAAGAAATAAACTATAATCCCTAACGATTTGGGGAAAATGGGACCACCATCTCGCTGAGGTTTATATCTACTGAAACCAAAAAAATAAGAGTTAATAGTTGGGAAATAATGGGAACAGTGCACTTAAACTTGGAGCCTCATATACGTTTCTGGGTGAACATATTTTATGAAAAAACAAATGCCAGACAACCTGTTTGGCTTGTCCAATGTGCTGTTTACAACTTAATTACCCAACTATGTGTTTTTGGTTTAATAAGTAGCAGGAGTATAAATTTTAATACCACACTGCCTTTTAGTTTGTGAAATATATTAGTATTTTCTCTTCGGGTTTTCAGGAAACAAAACAAAACAGGAAATAATTAATTAAGACCCAAAAAGGTGACAAGAAAAACATTGGTATGAAGTCACAGGATTTGTAAGTAGTCTTGAACCCCTCATAGGCAACATCAATAAACCCGCCTTTCCCAGTGGTGTGTCAAGCTGAGAGGATCTCTGATAAGTAACCTCATTCCATTCAGGCATCATAACCATGTGGATTCTGCTTTTTCTCTTTGCTTTTGCGCTAGATAAAATAATTACTACACTAAAGGGCCCAGTTCCAGAGAACCTGGTACCTCTGCTTGCTCTAAATTGGTCTCCTCTATTCCATTGAGTTTGAGCATTTCTAGTAGCTGGGCTTTTCTGATCTATGAGGCTTCCCGGCACAGGACTAGTCATCACTTCAGTAGTGATTTGAAATCCTCTTACAGAGGAAATCCCAACTCATAATATCAGGAATTCTGCTTCTGTGCAGATTTTAAAGGCAAAGTCCTAAAGATCACTCCCAAGTAATCCAAAGTTTGTTTTTTGTTTAAATAAATCTCTCATATTCACTATATAATACCTCCCAAAGACAAAAATAATATTTCGGATAAACCATCAATAAAAGCTTTAGCTAGGAAAGATCAAACATCATTTTCTGAAATTTAGAATATTTAATTTCATTTTAAAAGCATCACTGTTAATCCACTCCATGTGGGTCTATAGCTCTTTTGTACACGGACTTGGGGAAAATAAGTTTAAAGAGAATCTTTTGCCCAACTGTTCTGTTACATGATTCTTAAAGAAGCCACATTCATAAGACAAACCTTTGGATAATTTATGCCATTGTTATTGCTTCCTATTTGCAATAGGTAAGATCAATCAACAAGTGTTTGATAAGCGAGCGGTCCAGGATCTCGGCGATACTATCCCAAATAATCCTTAGACATACATTTCCTAAATACTCACTAATCCCAAATAGTGCAATTTCCTTCTCTGAATATCAAATTCAAATGAGAGTAATATGAGCCCAGCACATCTACCAGCAAATGCATAGCTAATATTACAAAGAAAACTTTCCAGAGCCAAGGACCTTATTGTACTTCACCAGACAGATAAAATTAATTGAATGCACTTCAAATGTTCTAACTTAAAGCTAATTACCATAAATCAGCTCAAGTATTTTGACAATTTGGAATCTGTACTATTAAGAATAAATACACACCATAAAAGTGAAGTTGAAGGGTGAAATATTTCACTATAACATTCAAGGAATTGTCACATTAAAAAAGGTTATGGCAAATAATTGCCACTGGATTTATCACATTGTAGTTTATTCTCTATAAATCATATAGAGTTTAATTGCTCGATCGCACACTTAGCTATATATTAACATAGCTTTAGTCCCAGTCTAAGAAAAAAAAAAAACGAAGGGGAAGAAGTTTACATTCCCTTAACTTTACCCTTAAATTTGTAATGACTTTCTCAATCCGAGACAATGCCCAAGCCATACAGGGAACATATTTAGAATAAAGCATGACTCCGTGCATTGAAAGGTTTCTAATATCTTAAGAAAAGCCCTGGAGATTGGCATGTGTTATCACGCCCACTTTCTTTGTGAGACTGCCCTATTATGTTTGCCAGGTGTGGTTAGGAACTAAGCATAGAGTTCCTTTATCCACTGTGGGTGCCGCCCCTCAGGTGGCCCTGCTGAGCTATGGCAATGCTGTCTATGCCTGTTATACTTTGTCTTTTCTTATTTGGTGACTTTAGTCCCTGTGATCTGCTTCTGTTAATAGAATGTGGAACAGCTACCAAGTGTCAGTTTAGGTAACTCCTTAGGAAGAACTAGAAAATTCAACCGTACTGCTTGGGGACTGTGCCCAGCTATTCTAATAGCCTATCGTGAGAAGCCCAGCCAGAAAGTGTGGAGAGGTCACCCGAAGAAGAGAGTCCTCTATCTGCCACCCCACATTAGGTTTCAGGAGGGAGACCATCTCAGAACTATTTCCAGATGATGTCATAGAGAGGAGAAACGAAACGCTCCCAACAAGCTATTTCTTTGCAGAATGATGAATGAAAGGAAATAATTGCATTCCAGAATCGTTTCCTGAAGTAAACACGCAGTGTTTCCGCTAAAAACCTGTAAATCCTAGGCATATAGAAGCACGCACACCAAGAGAAAGCAAGACAGCATATCATCGGTGGGCTGATTTAAGCCCTCATCTAGGCTGGAAGTCAATTTATGGACCGTGCGCCCTCCTGGCCCTCTATCTTCTGTTCTTTCTTGTTCTTCTTCCTTCTCCCTTATTTTTCCTTCTTGTCTCAAGGTAGTTATGTTAAGCTTCAGTCGTTTGCAAACAGAGAAGCTTGGTCAATGCAGCCTGTTCCCACATGGAAACGGTAGCAAACACGGATGAAGGGAAGGGACGGAGAGGACCAATGACAAGAGCTAACAGAGTATCTGCACACACACTGTGCAAAGCTGCAGGGGATTAAGAGGATGTCAGTGACTGTATTAGTTTCCCACTGCTGCTGTAACAAATCACCGCAAACACAGTGGCTTAAAACCTCACAAACATATTATCCTCTTACAGGAAAACGGGCAAACACAGGTCTCACTCAACTAATGAAACAGCATCAGCAGCTGTGGCTTCCCTTCAGGAGGCTCTGGGGAAGCTGTTTTCTTGTTTTGTTCTTTTCAGCATTTACAGGCTGCCTACGTTCTTTGTTTATAATTCTTTTGTCATCTGTAAACCCAGCAGCAGCAGGTGGAGTCCTTATAGGGCTTCTTTTTCTTTTCTGTTTTCCTGGCTTCCATGTTTCATGTTTGGTCCCTATTCATTACACTGGACCCACATAAACAGTCCGTAACAATTTCCCCCATCTCAAAGTCAATACTAATCAAATCAGGAAGGATGCTTTGGCCATATGAAGGAACTTTCACCGGTACAATAAATTAGGATATAGGTATCTTTGGAGGGACATTATTCTGTTTACCACAAAGAGGATGTGTGAAAAGAACACATATCCTATAAAGGAGCCAGTGACAGGAACACACACACACACACACACACACACACACACACACACACACACACACGCGCGCGCGCGCGTGCATGAGGGCATGCACACAAAATGCAGTTTATAAATTCTGTGTAGAGTTATGTGTGGTGGTTCACATTTATAATCCCAACATTCACAAAAGTGAGGAAGGAGATGTGTCGTAAGTTTGGGGCCAGGCTGGGCTACAGAGTGATGGTCTTTCTTCAATAAATGAATAAATAAATTGATAAAGCATGCAATGAATAGGACAGTGCACCAGAGCAAAATCCACATATTCACCACCAACTCACTGTACAGCCATTCATTTGCTTTGTGAAATTTCTCTGAGCTTGGAGCAGGTGTAGAGCTCCGTGGTGGTGCCAGACGCATGAATGCAGACCTTCATCCTATCTCTCAGATTCACTTCTATCAAGAGAATCAACCATTATCTAAGTGTGCAGTGTGATAATTCATGACGATTAAGCTTGAATTTGTGATTCTGAACTGTTCACCAATGTCTTCTGAATCCCAAGTCCAGTGCACAAGTTTATACCATGGAAGCACTCAGGTTAGCACATTCTACTGACGTATAAAACCATGCAAGCATACAGAACAATGTACCGAGCTACTCTGAAGATCTAGGAATATTTCAGAGATTCAGTGATCTGCTAACTCATCAGCCACACCAGTTCTGACTTAGGTTCACATGCAGATACTGAACTTACCCTTTCTACCTGTGTTTTAATTTCGGGAGTTAAAATCATTTAAATATTGATAGGTATAAATCTACACAGTATTCCTATGGGAAGGCCTGAAGTTTTGTTTGAGTGAGATTAAGATTATAGCAGATAATAAAAAGGATTCTGTTTTCCTAACACATTTTGATCAAAGTGCCTCAAGTTAGGAAGCACCAGAGGGTTGAGAGTCAGGAACACAGGAAGATTTTCTGTTATGCTAGGTAATTGAAAAATACTATATATTATTTATGTGTATGTTCATGAAAGAGAAAAGGAAATCACATATTAAATTATTAATGGATTGGAATGTTTGCAAAGAAAGTTCAAATACTCAACTTTGTAGGTAAATATATTTAGTCTGGGAATAGCTAAGGTTTATTCAGCACTATTTTAGATGTGAAGTCCTGGACTCAAGTGCCCTGTATAGTGTCTGCTGTGTTTCCTTCTTGTTACCACTTAAACTCAACCACCGGAAGTCCTCCATGAGGAAGGTGCTAGATGTGTGGAAGCCAAACCCACTTTCTAGTCTGTCAGTCTTGGAGCTATCAGCAGATACATTGAGAATTCAAATTGTATAGGCTAGGTAAGTAATCCAATTAATAAATACCTGAAGTACAAGCATTGAGGATCTGAATATGATCCCTAGAGCCCACATTAAAAGTCCTGGGATGCATTGAAAGGCAGAGACAGGAGGCTTCCTAGGGGGGATGACTGGGCAGCCAGCCTACATTGGTGAGTTCCCAGAGCCACTCTCAGAACACAAGGT